CATTAGAATCATTGGAAAAAATCTGGGATTTTATGTTATAAAAGAACCCCAGTAATGGAATTTACAAGGAATATCTATTTGATTATATAATAAACCATATAAAAACAGGGAGAAAAGTGATAAAAGGGAAAATTCTCTGTAGGTTGATATTCAGTATGCAGCAATATGCAACTGATATTCAGTACAAAACATGTTTATTTTTCCATTAAACTCAGCTGTCCTAATTTAAGAGAGCCTCCAAAAATACCAGTTGATATTTAGCTTCCGTCAGTTAGGAGTTGTTTAATTTTTTAGACAATTCTCATCACTTCAGAAGGGAGAACAGAGTGTCATAAAGCCACAGAAGGATGTCCCCACCTACACAGTGTCACAGTGGCATGACTGGGGGACACTGTGACTAAAGGCATGTCCTGGTCACAGTTACAGGGGCACGGTGGGCATTGCCAGAATCAGTGCTACAAGCTGCATATAAGTGATGAGTTTCCTGCCCATGTTTGCTTTTTTGCATTTCAATTTTCCCAGGAACATTTTATTCTGCTTCTTAGATGACAGTCCCTAAGGAGCCAGTCTCCATTTTTATCCTGCCATGGATTTTCTAGGTCATCATTTCAGGTAAACCTTCTGGGAGTCAATCCAGTTTACACCAGGCACTTACTCTGAGTCCAGTTCTAGGCTAGGGAGTATGAAGGGGGAAAGGGGCTGGGTAGTAAGACCCAAAATCTATTTAAGTTTCACGATCCTTAATTTTGAGAGATTTCTTGTCTTGCTGGACAGAGTTAAATTACATGTATATATTTTTTTATATATTGCACACACACACACACTTCATCGGAAAGAAATGAAAGACACAGTAATAAGGTGCTAAATTATATGGTTCACACTTCAAGTGCTACAGAAGGTCTAAGAAGAATGAGTTATTTTCCTCTGAAAAGAGAAGAGGAACGTTTACAATGGGCTCTGATGAGGATGTGTGATTTTAGTGCCTAGAAGAGGGATGAGGGTAGTACTAGAGAGGAAAAGGGAGAATAAAGGTGAGAGTTATTTAATATCCTTTAAACTCACTTTTCACTTCCCTAAATGAGAAGAAGGATAAGACTCTTTGTTTTGGTTGACTCATACGTTCTCATGAGAATTAAATGAGATGGTGTTTGTAAATGTTTTATTATCTAATAGTTAATCAAACAGATGAAATGGTTTCAGTAACCAAACTACCAGTAACGATTAAAAGCCCGAATATCAATTTGTGATTTTACAACTGAAAAAATAACAGCCAAGAGACTTGTATCGGTCTTCTGCATAAGATTTTTGCTGGCAGTCAGTCTATTCAGAAACCAAATTACAAATCAAACAGATAATATTGGCCACCATGTATTGCAGACCGGGGACCTGGGCTCTCTGCACCATGGCCTTTGATTCCTCCCAGCAGTCCTGAGTAAGGCACATCACCCCCACTCTGCACCAGCCAAGCCTCACAACCAGTTACTGATGGTCATCTTAATCGCATGCCCCTCTGGCTTCCAAGCCCAAGCTCTAATCCCTAGGTCACCAGGTTTCAAAAGGAACCAGAGCAAGACAACTCATTCACTAAAGATTTTTTCTACCACGCCACGTATTAGCATGGACATTGGGAAGGAAAAATAGCCAAATAAGTGAACTGAAGTGAGCACTGTACCACCCTTAAGCACTTCTGCAACTTCAGTTGAGCTATTGATCAGAGCAAATTCTAACAACATTTCTACGCTTCCTGTATTTACTCTTGGAGAGGATAGATTCAAGAGACACCATAGAACCAGCGTACTTATTCCTGTAAGTTAGAGAATGCTGTTTTCTGACAGGTGAAAGGTGGGGTTACAGCTGATGAATTTGACTGGTGGCAACAATCAGTTTGAATAAATTACATCCAGGGCATCTCTTTTCTATGGTAGATTTCCCATTGCCACTGCTTCGGCCTCGCCTCTGCACTAGTCTATTAGTCAATTAGTCAATTTTAGAACTACATCTCCATTCATTTTGGGTCCCCAGTGCACCATGACACTTCTGCTATGACGTTAATTTGGTTCCCAAAAGAGGAAATAAAGTGTCTTGCTTGCTTAATGCATCCCTGGTAAAATAGAATGAGTCCCCTCCCCCCCCACACACACACACATTGCTATATAGATCATAGTGTAAGTTTAACACTTAGTGTTTGATGTTAAGGAGGAGACATCATTAAGAACATCAAGTAAATATGAAAGGGGAGATGACAGGTTGGGATGGCGTTTGAGGGAGGGACTGCATGCGATGCTGGAGAGCACAGCCTGGTTACTCAGTGCCCGTCCATCTGGACCTCCCCTGAGCTGAAGTCCTTTCTATTCATGGTCTCTCCTTTTGATTTTCCTTTAAGCTATTTCCCAGGATTCTTTCAGGATAATGACGGGCGCTCCTCCAACTGATGCATCACATCTGTCCCCAACCCGCTGCCCCCACCAACCTTTTTAGTGATCCCGGGCACATCACCTAGGTAAGACACACCTGTGAGAGTCTAGAATAGTCCTTTACAAACTCGCACTACTTACTCGCAGAAAGAGTTCTGCAAAACGATGCACTCCCATGTACACTTTAAGGTTGACATCTAAAATTTCCACCGTAAGTTCAAATAATTGTAAAAGATGTCTTTTCTGGCATAACACTATTTTTAAAATTGAATTGTTCCAACACATTTTGGAATAACTCCAATATCCAAGTACCGCAGCTCTTTGAAACATACCCACAAGGGTCCTTTTGAAGATTCAAGGACTTCATAGCGCACAGCGCCCTGCACATGATATATGCTATGTATTTGCTGTGTGTGTGTGTGCAAGGGGTGGGGGGTGGGGGGTGGGGGGTATGGAGACAGAGATGGAAAGTGATGGCAAGATGTTAGCAGTCAGTCTTTTTTTAAAAAAATATATTTTTACTGATTTCAGAGAGGAAGGGAGAGGGAGAGAGAGAAACATCAATGATGAGAGAATCATTGATCGGCCGCCTCCTGCACGCCCCACACTGGGGAAGGAGCCCACAACCCGGGCATGTGCCTTGACTGGGAATCAAATCATGACCTCCTGGCTCATAGGTCAGTGCTCAACCACTGAGCCACACTGGTCGGGCCTCCCTCTTCCCCTTTTCAGGAACCCCATCTCAAGATTAGCTGATTAGCAACTTTGGTTGCATCTGCCGCCTTAATTCCCTTTTGCCATGGAAGCTAACATTCCCAAGGTCAGGGGTCAGGATGCGGCATCTTTGGGAGAGCCATCACGCTACTGACCAGAGCCTCCCGGCCGCTTGACCTGCACCTTCTCTCAGGATGAGAGGAACCCCGGGGAGGAAGATACGGCTTCCAAGCTCAGAGGCTGCCAGGCCCTTTCCTGAGGATGGAGACAGCCACCCACCAAAGGCCTAACTAACAACTCTCACATGCAAATAAGACAGGAGGTAATCGCTCCAACTCTGCAAATTTAGGCTTACGTGGGGAGACGTTTATGTCCCCTAAAACATGAAAATGAGGTATTCATCCTTATGTTCACAGGTGTCAGGTAGTTTATTTACATGCCGTCCTGACTGCGTGCCGAAGGCCTGGCCGGAGGCCAGTCCGTTCCCCTTGCTTGAGCAGCCAATCACGTGCACACCCCACCACCTACCTTACCGGCTCTCACATCTGGGCCACTGGAGACGCACTGTACCCACCCAGGACAGCTACCAGACAGCCGGGACAGCCCCTGTGTCCCAGGGACCTCTGAAATGATTCAAATTAGTCACCTCTAAGCCTCTCACCTGCTCCCCCGTCCCTCCCCACAGACACCACAATAAGGTGCTTGCCCGCAGTTCCCCTTTCTCCTGCCTCCTGGCTGACCTTGGGGCTTCCCCGCGAGGCCCCCGTGGCTGCTGTCTCTCCCCAGGGAGCTGTGAGTGTGAACCACACTCTGTGACGCTCTTTCCGGTTGCTCCCTCGGCCTGAACCTGGCCTCCCCCTACCTCCCCTAAGGTAACATGGTTATAAGTGTGTTTAATGAATTTTTCTCACTTTCAAATTTTTGATTGATTTTCTTCTCCGCAAAATGCTCAGGGAAGATCTTTCTCAACAGCTTCCAGAGTAATTTGAATGCCAACAGCGGAAAGTCCAGAAGGCCTCTCTGCCTTCCCACCTGATGTCTAGAGCCACCCTGAGCACCCACAGCAGACGGGAGCACAGGAAGTGCAGGGAGGGGACCAACTCTACCACTGCATCTTTGAGGCTATTGATTGGTCAGGAAACCAGCCCCCAGGGTAGAAACACGAATTCTGAAGGTAAGAAACCCCCTCACAAATGACTGGAAACTGCTTCTCAAACCCACAGTGCCCCAGGAGTCCTTCTGTTCAGGCACGTTCTGAAATCTCCTTTACCAACACACTGCTCCATCTGCCCCAAACTCCGCCTTATGGGTCCCAGTCCCCTGTCCACTCAGGAGCCCGGCTCTCTCCAGCATAACCCCACACCCGGGAGGAGCGGAGGGGCCCAGCTGGCTCCCAGGGCAGACCTGGACCAGCCCCTGCACTGGAGCCCTCTCCTCCCCTCGCCCAGCCGCCCCCTCTCCCGCTGTCCCAGTCTCCCTTTGCTCTTCACCGGGATTGTCTCTCTTCCCCCCTTTGCCTCCTACCCACTCAAGCAAGGGCTGCAGGAGATTCCACCCAGAGGTGTGGGCCTGGGGGAGATTCAGGCAGAGCATCTTGCCCCCCCCCCCCCCCCAGGTGCAGGGACGTGAATCCATTCCTCGGAGGGTGAGAGGAGGAAGCCGGTTCCAAGCGTTGTCTCTCCTCTGCTCTGCTCTGCTCTGCTCTGCTCTGCAGAAGCGGTGCAGTGGTGCTGAGTTTGAGAACTGCTGGAGGAATTCCCCTCAGTGCTCTGAGCACCATCACGCCCCTAGGCAGACTCTGGCTGCACTGCTGGTAAGCTTTTCTCAGTGCGGACTCCAGCGGTCTGTCCTGGGAGACGTACACTTACTTACCACTTTGCTTCCGCCGCAGAGCCCGGTTCTTCCAGTCCTTCCAGGCCAGCTCCGGGCTCCCCGCAGCCTCACGGGCAAGGAGCTCCTCCCCTCGTATGTCCTCTGTCCCAGGGACTGTTCCCAGAGCAAATCCTGACCTGTGCTCTGTCCATGCCCCTTGACCTCTGGGGCCGAGATTTGGGCTCATTCGTCCAGCAAAACTCTAGGATAAAGTAATCACAAAGGTAACATAATTCAACGTCACTTTCCAAAGCAAAATGAATAGCCCAGTGTAAAATCTACACTCAACAAATACCTGCTGCTTGAGCTCAGCTTAAACGCAACATTGTTCCAACTCGTTTCTAACTTTCAAAATGGTTTCTTTCTTTCAAAAACAGGATGTGGGAATATCTCCCAGGTTAATTGGTTACCCATTTTCCTGTTGGACCTAAGTCACCAAAAGTACCTGGAGTTCTTTCTCGTTCTGTCCCTGTGACTTCCTCATAGTTCCTCGTCCTCCTCTCCACATTCCTCCCCTGCCCTGGGGGGTGGCGGGGGGTGGGGCGGAGAATGAGTATTGCTTAATGGTTAATGCCTGAGTGAACTCAGCTAGCTCCACTGGAAACTCTAGCCTTAGGTAACTTTGCTTAACCTCTCTAAGACTCAGTTTTCTGAAAAATGCGACCAGTAATAATGTTATGATACAATTGTTTTTACTAATAATTTTTATACTATAATAATAATATGGATATCATTTCACACTAATAATTTCTGTATCATAACAATAATAATGTATGCACTACATTCATGGTACTGATACTATTTTCTGTATTAATAATTTCTGCACTATAATAATACTGATACTATTTCCTTTACTAATAATTTCTACACTTTAATAATTTCTATGCTAATAATATAGGTATAAAATATTTGTACTAGTAATAATTTAATAATGACAATAATTCTACCCAATATCTATGCTAAGAATATCTGTACTAATAATGCTAATAGTTTTCTGTAAAATGAGGCTAATAATATCACTGACTTTATAGTTATTCTGAGCATTATATGAGGAAAAAATAGATAAAACACACAGCATGACACGTAGCAGGTATTTAATAAATATTGTTGTTGTTGTTGGGCTTCTAGTCAGTCTCCCTCCCAGTTCTTGCACCAGGGAAACTTGTGAATAAAACTTAAAACTGCTTGCCCTAGCCGGTTTGGCTCAGAGCATCGGCCTTCAGACTGAAGGGTCACGGGTTCAATTCCCAGTCAGGGCACATGCCTGGATTGTGGGCTCGATCCCCAGTAGGGGGCGTGTAGGAGGCAGCCAATCAATGATTCTCTCTCATCATGGATGTTTCTCTCTCTCTCTCTCTCTCTCTCTCTCTCTCTCTCTCTCTCTCTCTCTCTTTCTCTCTGAAATCAATTAAAATATTTTTAAAAAATTGTTTTCAGATCTGTCTGGGTAAAGAAAAGACGGCCCCTGAGAGTGACTGTGGGAGGGAGCGCATCACCTGCCCTGGGAGCCTCCTTCCACCTGTGCAGGTAGCTGCTCCTGGTGAGAAGAGGAGCGGGTAGGAGAAGGGTGGGAATAGGCAGCTGGTCATGAAGTAGGGGCTTTTGCTCTCTGGGTGGAAGGGGATTTTCATTCAGAGGAACAAGGATGCTGGAGGAAGGAAGGGGTTCGGTTCCCTCCACCCTGAGGAGTGAACTTGGACCTTGCCCCAGAGAAAGGAATCATAGAAGTGATGGGGGGGGGGGGGGGAGCAGGGCGGGGCATGTCCAGAGGCAGGAGAACAGGGTCCTTAGGGAGACCTGGGTCTGGAGCAGAAAGGAATATCACATTGTCATGCCCTAACGGGTGGTACTTAGGGAAGGGAATGAAAGTGGACCTTTTGCTACTGTCTTCCTCACTTCCCCTCGCAGGGGGAGCCCCTTTCCTGGGCAGGAGCCCCTTTCCTGGGCAGGAGCAGGCTCACAGGCGATGCAGCGTCAGGTGGGCCCTTTGGCTATGTAGGGCTTTATTTGACTTTCTGTTTTATTTTAAATGGAGCCATTCCTGAAACTAATTGGACTGAAAGCCCATAAATTAAGATCCATTATTTTACATGTTTTAAGAGGCAAAAGAACAGAACAATCAACATGTACGATTTCCCACCCCCACCCCCATTCTCCACTTCCAGCTGGCAGTACTCAGGTGTGTGTCCTCAGAAGCCTGGAGCAGTTAACAAACCAACAAACAAAACCTTTCCCTGCAGGCCTCCTGAGACGCAGAGGCACAAAGCCCTCCTTCTGGTGTTCACCCAAAGCACACCGCAGAACTGAGAGTTAAGAGCTGACTTACGGGTCTCCACAAAACAAGTGCAGCTTTTCATAAAATGAAAGGTGATGTGGGCTGACTTCACTTATAGAGACAGGAACAGAGCAGCGTTGCCTCAGACCCAGGGTAGGCGTGGGCATGAAGAAGCATCTTGGGGTAGCGGACATGCTCTAACACTGGACTGTGGTGATGGGTGCACAATTGCGTAAGTTTACCAAAATCATTGAGTTGCACACTTACGATGGGTGAATTTTATGATCTGTAAATTTTGCCTCAATAAAGCTGCGTGTGTTTTTAAGTTATATAGGTAACTGGTTTCAATTGGCCAAATAATATAGTGTTAGTACCTACACTGTCGTCCTGACCACTTGCAAACCATGTGAGTTGGAGAAAGTGAGTTCCCAGCCCTCAGCCTCAATCTCCTGGTGTGTCAAGTGGGAGGTGATGATGCGCATCTCAAAGCAGAATGACAATTTAATGAGACAACTTGCGGAAAGCACTTAGCTCGGCAGTGGGCCTGAAGCCGCTGCTTCTGATGTGTTACACTTCCTCCTGGGCCCAGCAGTGTGGGGAGGCCTGCAGGGAGAGCTGGGTGTTGATCATTTCCTGACATGGGAAGGGAAGGGAAGCTCATTCTGGATTTGTCACTGAGAAGGCTCTGGAAAAATCGAGTGGTGGCGAGGTTTCCAGCCTCTCAGGCCCACCAATGCCCTTGTGACTAGAGGAATGAAATTCCACTCTCCCTTTCAGGGGTCCCAGGGTATTGATTTTCACCTCCTCCTGGGTCAAGTTGTGAGGATAAAGGAAGTGAGATGTGTGGTGAGGCAAGGGCTGCAGGTGCTCCAGGCCTCTTGGTGACGGTCCCAGCTGGCTGCCCTGGGGGATGCTCTAAGGTAGATAGGATTTGGGCTACTGGATGAGGACACAGGTCCCTGTCTCCTGAGAGTCACCTGGGTGAGCTCAGAAATGTCAAATCTGATGGTTAGGAACCAAACGGGATCACTGGCACTTGTCAAGCATGGCAAACTCGCGGCTGTTAGGCCGCACGCTGGCTGTGAGTTTGACACGCTTGCTAAGAGCTGGTCCTAAGACCAGTTGAGACAGCTTGTTCTCTCCTTGTGTGTGGAGGACACTTTATTCTGAAGTTTTTAGGGACAGTGATGGACAGAATGAAGTATCAGTCATTCTTGGAGGGGAAAAAAGCATGCATCCCCATCCTTACCCTTACATACCCCATTCCCTGTCTGTCCCTGGCAGGCTTACCTGCTTATTCATTCATTCATTACATATATACTGAACTTCTGCTATATGCCTGAGGCTGTTCTAGACAAGGCCCTTGCCCTCACAAACCTTATATTCTAGCAAGAAACGCACACAGTGAGCAAGGAATCAAGTGAATCTATGCTAACATAAATGCTAACAAGGATAGTTTATACAGGTGGCCAGATTAGATTGGGTGGTCAGGGAAGACCTCTCTGAGAAAGGGACAATTTAGCAGATCCTTGAGGGATCAAAAGCAGCAAAGGTCTGGAAGAAGGGCATTCCTGGCAGAGGGAAGAGAATTTGCAAAGGCTCTGGGCCAGGTGTGAGTTCTGTCTTTTCAAAGAGCAGAAAGAAACCAACGTAGCTGGAGCCGAGTGGGAGGTAGGCATGGTTGAAGGACAGTAGTCCAGGGTGGTGGTCAGGGCCCAGGCCTGTTGGCCTCTGGCCACAGGAAACATGGATTTCATTCTAGGTGTGATGGGAAGCTGTGTGGAGCATTTGGGACAGGGAATCAAAATTATTATTTTGGCTATTTGGAGAATAGACTTCTGGGTATAGACGCTTTCTCATCAAACTAGTTGTACAGAATCTCAAAGCGAACAGCCCCTTCCACCTGAGCCACCCTGGCCTCTCTAAAGCGAGAAGAAATAAGGACTGGGGACCTCACACCACCAGCATGAGGAGAGGGTCTCTCCTCCGTTTTCTCTCCCCAGTGGGCCTCCTGTGTCTCTCTTTCCTCTGTAGCCCAAGAGTAAATGGGTTTGCTTGTTTATTTGTGGAGGTTTATCTTTATTTATTTATTTATTTATTTATTTTTAATATATTTTATTGACTTTTTACAGAGAGGAAGGGAGAGGAACAGAGAGCTAGAAACATCGATGAGAGAGAAACATCGATCAGCTGCCTCCTGCACACCTCCCACCGGGGATGTGCCCGCAACCAAGGCACCCGCCCCTGACTGGAATCGAACCCGGGACCCTTGAGTCCACAGGCCGATGCTCTATCCACTGAGCCAAACCGATCAGGGCAGGTTTACCTTTAGAAATCATTCAATCTGCATTAATTCTCTGACATTGATTCTTCAAGACATTGAAGAAAACATTTATTAAGATGTGGAGGAAATTTACTACATACAATGTCTATACATGAAAAGTGTTAATTACCTCCCTGTGTGCCTCCCATGCTCATTCTTTCTTTTTTTGACACATGTCTGCAGCTCTAGCCAGGTCTCCATGGCCTGGACTGAACGATGATCCCAAATGAGGCTTTCTAGCCAGAGAAATCTTTTCATAAAATAACCCAGAGACACCAGGGTGGAGAAAGGTAGTATCAGTCTGCTCGGGCTGCCATAACAAAATACCACAGACTGGGGGGCTTAAACAACAGACATCTATTTCTCACAGTTCTGGAGGCTGACGTCCAAGATCAAGGTGCCAGCAAGGTTGGCTTCTGGCAAGGCCTCTCTCCTCCGCTTAGATCTCTGCTCTGTCCCCACAGGCCTTTCCTCTCTCCTCTGTCTCCCATGGAAACAGTGTGCATGGAAACAGAGCTCTGGCCCAGCCATGGCTCAGGAGGTCACGATTCGATTCCCAGTCAGGGCGCATGCCGGAATTGTGGGCTTGATCCCTGGTGTGGGGCATGCAGGAGGCAGCCGATCAGTGATTCTTTCTCATCATTGATGTTTCTCTCTCTCTCTCCCTCTCCCTTCCTCTCTGAAATCAATAAAATGTATATATATATATATATATATATATATATATATATTTTTTTTTTTTTTTTTTTTTTTAAAGAAACAGAGCTCTGGTATCTCACCTGGGGGCCCTGTGTCTGTGACCTCTAATTTTCATCCATACATTCATTTAATC